GCCTTGACCACTCAGCCACCATGAACCTTATGGTAGACAAGGTCGAATTTACTGTTATAAACTACAATCTTCCATGAATCTCGTACATTCATAACTGCTCTGGCGTATCGAATGATGTAAACAAATGACGTCATATGTTAAAAAAAATGGACGAGGTCCGACAATTTATTTATTAAAAGACATTTTATTTATGTTTAACGTTGTTATTTTATAGATACAAGTATTTAAGCAAATGCTCTGTTTATGATAAACAGTATTAAATAACATTTAAGGGCCTGAATGTCGAAAAATTTTCATAGAAAATATTCGTTCATAGACAAGGATTCGAACCTGCATCCTATACGGAACCGCCATATACGCTGGCGTGCCTTGTCCACTCATATGACGTTATTTGTTATAACTACAATCTTCCGTACTCATGGTCCAGTTTAATCTGTTATGAAATGTAAACAATTTTCCATGGAAGATTCGTAGTTTTTAATAAATTTTATCATAAACAGACCTTTGCCAAATACTTGTATCGTATGTAAACAAATGACGTTAAACATAAATAAAAATGTTCTTTAATGTTAACATATGACGTCATTTTGTTTATATATATGGACGCAGGTTCGAAGGTTCATATGGAATGAGTGGTCTATGAATGGCGGTTCCGTATAGGAATAAATGAAAATTTTTCTATTTATGTTTAACGTAAATGTTATTTAATACTGTTTATCATAAACAGAGCATTTGCTTAAATACTTGTATCTATAAAATAACAACGTTAAACATAAATAAAAAATGTCCGGCCTGAATAAATTGTCCATTTCGCGACATCGTCCATTTTCATAACATATGACGTCATTTGTTTACATTCGATACAGCAGTTATGAATGTACGAGATTCATGGAAGATTGTACCATATAACAGTTAAATTTGACCATATACCATAAGGTTCATGGTGGCCGAGTGGTCATTTGTTTAGGCACGCCAGCGTATATGGCGGTTCCGGAATAGGATGCAGGTTCGAATCTTGTCTATATGGCGGTTCGTAATATTTTCTATGAAAATTTCTCGGACATTCAGGCCGGTAAATGTTATTTAATACTGTTTATCATAAACAGAGCATTTGCTTAAATACTTGTATCTATAAAAATAACAACGTTAAACATAAATAAAAATGTCTTTAATAAAATAAATTGTCGGACCTCGTCCATTTCTTAACATATGACGTCATTTGTTTACATTCGATACGCCAGAGCAGTTATGAATGTACGAGATTCATGGAAGATTGTAGTTTATAACAGTAAATTGACCTTGTCACCATAAGGTTCATGGTGGCCGAGTGGTCAAGGCACGCCAGCGTATATGGCGGTTCCGTATAGGATGCAGGTTCGAATCCTGTCTATGAACGAATATTTTCTATGAAAATTTCTCGATGATCAGGCCGGTTGTTATTTATGTTTTATCATAAACAGAGCATTTGTTTAAATACTTGTATCTATAAAAATAACAACGTTAAACATAAATAAAAATGTCTTTAATAAATAAATTGTCGGACCTCGTCCATTTCTTAACATATATATATATATATATAAATAAAATGGACTAAGTCCGACAATTATTGTAATATATTTTCTATTTATACGTTTTTATAGATGCAAAGATTTATGTAAATGCTCTGTTTATTATAAGCAGTATTAACTATATTTACCGAGAAATTAAAAAAAAATATATGTGTCCTCCGACAGGAATTGAACCTGTATCCTACATGGCACCTTTACAAGGCCACTTGATGTACAGAGTAAGAAGCACAATTTATTTGGATATGTGGTGAAGATAACAGCTAACAGAAGGCGTGAACAGGTTAAGTTTATAGTGATCGGGGAAGCATCCTCTTGAGAGTCAGTTTCACAAAGCACTGGTTCATAGGAAGCAGCTGCTCAAGTGGAAATTTCATCTTCTTTTGTATTTCATTCATTAACCAAAGACCATCTTTGCCAAAAATGGTTTCAAAGGCATCCAATTAATGGAATGACCATTAGCCTTTCCAGATATTAATCTAATCAAAAATTTATGGTCCATCATTAAAAAGTGTGTGAGAATAGAAAGCAATATTCAGGTAAATATCTCTGGGAAGCAAAGAAACCAATATATGGAAATGGACAAAGTCCGACAATTATTTTAAGACATTTTTATGTTTATACATTCTTTTTATAGATACAAATATTTAAGTAAATGCTCTGTTTATAATAAACAGTATTAACAACATTTACTGGCCTGAATGTCCGAGAAATTGTCATAGAAAATATTCGTCCTCCGACAGGAATTGAACGTGTATCCTATACGGAACCGTCATATAGCCTGACGTGCTTTTATCGATTTCGCCACAGAGGAGCGTTTCGGTTAGCAAGGTCGATTTTACTGTTTTTAAACTACAATCTTCCATGAATCTCTCACGTTCATTTATATCTGCTCAAAGCGTATCCAAATGTAAACAAATGACGTCACATATTATGAAATGGACAAAGTCCGACAATTATTTTAAGACATTTTTATGTTTATAAATTCTTTTTATAGATACAAATATTTAAGTAAACGCTCTGTTTGTAATAAACAGTATTAACAACATTTACCGGCCTGAATGTCTGAGAAATTTCGTAGAAAATGTGTCCTCCGAGTGTTTATTGACGTCAGTGGCGCACTTCTCAACTGGAAAGTTAAAGATGTCTGTCTAAGGAAGGCCCCGAAGAAAATCCTGGAGTGAGTCCCAAGCAGCATTCTGGTAACGGAAAGATGTCTTATGAATCGTTTAATAGATGATTGGAACGAAAAGTAGAGAATGGTCAGAATTACCAAGAGGGCAGTGTTGTGAAGCTCGACAAGATGGAAGACAGGAGGTAAGAAATAAATTAAATAGAAAACCTACTCGTCTTCTCTACTTGATTTATTATTGCTCGGTTTTGCCAGGGCAACGAGTAGGGAAGTCTACGATTTGAATGAGGAATTGGGCAATGAAAAAAAAAAAGTAATATTTGAATACCGGCAACATCTGTACCTTTAAAAAGTTCAAGCCACGTGTCGTACTGAGCATTGAAATCACTGAAGAGAAAAATGTTCACAGATAAATGAAAGTGCCTTTTCTATACTGTCAGCAATTATGCCTAATATACGGCAGTCCTAGGAAGATGGGGAGCGATAAAGGAAAAAGAGATAGCTAACAGAGTTTAGTAACGAAAGGCGAAAGCACATGAAAGAGTTGTTCTGGTGATTTGAGAGACAAATCCCTGGCCATCGGAACATTATCCCGGATGTAAACAGCAAAGTAAATGCTGGAATCTTTTCGGCAAAGGTGAAGATAGACTGAAACCAAGAATTCGTTGGTAGCAATGGAAGAATTTAAATTGATTTCACAAAGGACAAAGATATCCGGCGACCGGTCCAAGAACGAATTTTAGAAAAAGAAAGGTTGAGAGGGCGTTGGTGTTTTTTCTTTCTTTTGTTGTTTTTGTTTACTGGCTTAATTTTATTTCTTTTTGTTGTGTTTTTCCATGAAATTCTTTTAGAGAGAGGGGGGGGGGCAATATAATTATCACTATCTTTCGTCCATGGCAAATCAATCTAGTCAGAGCGTAGCTAAGAATAGATCATAATGTGGTTTCAGCGTTGCCCACCGGAAATAGAATGCAGAGACATGCGCAACATGACACTACAAATACAACGATATGATGTGACTGTTGATCAGAACAGCCTCTCTAAGCGCTACTAAAGATTTCGGGCTCCTAACAACCAGACGGTAGCAACAGCCAGAAAACTGCCAACCTGGAACCTTCACGAAGGAAAGTCACAGCCACTGGTTAGTCTGATCATAAAAAGTTAAGACAGTTAAATCAGTTTGGGCCTAGTGGAAAAAAGAAAGCGAGAACCAAAAAAACATCTCCTGAACAGGAATCAAGGGATGAACCACTACTCCTGTTCAATAGACATGGAAGGAGTGCGGGCCAGACGTTAGGTGAGTCTGTCTACTCCTATTAACACGTAAAAAAAAATCAGCACATAAAATAAGAAAGAATTCATATTAAATTATAACTTAGTTCTGACGTCCACTAAACACATTCTAATTTAAACAAGTTGGCGGGAAGGGCTGAAGTGAAAAGTTTAATAATTAATAGCAATGGAGAAAAGAAAATGAAGGACAAAGAAGGAAGTGAAAACATTAGAAACAAAACCAAAAGATTAAAAAAAAAGAAATAATTCAAAACTTTACATCCAAGATGGCATATGGCATTGTAAGTTACTTACGAGAGATGCTTCAATACCTTCATTTCAATATTTAAATTGGACATTTTTACGAACAGACCAGGCTAATTTAATTTCAATGATGCATTGCTAAAATTACGGTGACTCTGAAATTATTTATTTGATTTCCATAGCCGAAAGCATGAGGCTATCTCTCATTTGGGATGGATGAAGTAAAGGGTCTATTTACTTAGCAATCTACCTTACTTTCTTTTTTTGGCTTTTATCAAAGAAATTCAAGTCATTCCCAGACATCAAATACAGCCGATCAGCCACAAACCAAATTATATATTTATTTATATAAACATGAAATAATATATATATATATATATATATATATATATATATATATATATATATATATATATATAGATGGATATGATTTTAGACTTAGGTTTCACGCTTTTTGATCATCAGACAAGTTTTTCTGATGACCGCAAAAAGCGTGAAACTCAGGGTCACAAACTCATATCCGTACAATTGAATACGTTAGCTCTATTACTGATATTAAGCGCTTTCTACTATATATTGAACATATAATATCCAATTTCCAGTTTACGGCACATGAAAAAGACTCCAATTAAAATGTAACACTGAAAATTTACAATAAATTAATGTGCAAGGGTATTTGCCCACAAGTTTGTGTAATGGACTCGACTGGAATTTGAACTCGGCTCTCCGGTTCCCCAATTCGAGCCACTATCCATTGATCCACTGTGCTATAAGTAGTTAGAAACAGACAAAGGGTAAAGAAAGAAAGAAAGAAAGAAAGAAAGAAAGAAAGAAAGAAAGAAAGAAAGAAAGAAAGAAAGAAAGAAAGAAAGAAAGAAAGAAAGAAAGAAAGAAAGAAAACAAGCAAGCAAGCGGTTAAAATTTTGGCGACGGGGAGGATTTCTGCTGACTTGTAAAGGTTCTAAAATTGATGCCGAAAAGACATTGTGTGAAGACTGAATTCCCAGACTGCAATTTGTTACCATATCCAGAGAAGGAAGAAAGGACGAAGAGAAAATTATGGTCGTCGGACCAAGAAAAAGACACAAATCTCAAACGGCAACCAGATTATTTGTATAGTTTCACTGATAAAGCAAAACATTTTCAATGCCATTCTTAGGCAATCGCCATAGAAGATTTCTATTTTTTTTTTAAAATTTATTTTTGGCAATTTGCCGCTGATTTTATAACATAAAAAGGATTTCTCTTTTGCCAGTAAATCTTCATTGGAAGCTGCGAAGACCAAATTATTACATCTGGACATGTGGGAGAACGCAAATTGTTACGGCCATTACGTACACATTGACGCATGCGCAAAGAACCATGCGCTATTATCGGCACGTGACGATCTGACGTTAGTCTGCGTAAAAATGTCTTTGAAGTTTAAGAATGCGGTGTAGGTGCCAATTTTCAAGACATCTTTGCTACATCCACTTCCTCAACAAAAAAGGAATAAAATATTTATTTTAATGCGCTTGCACTATGGACAGAAGATCGATCTCAACCCGTACAACTCAGCGTCATATATATATATATATATATATATATATATATACCAGACGACATGCGTTGAACGGATGTCAAAATTCGTTTTAAAATGCACCCCGACCCTCCCTAGACTTAACCTCTTTTTCGAACGCAACTCATAATTGATACAACAATAGTTAATAAAAATGAACACGCTACCGCCCCTGTCTAAATTATTGGATTTCTCTTTGTCCTTGGAAACAAAAAAAAAAATATGAATTGTATGTACGTTTAAAACTCAGTAAATTTAAAAATAAGTTATTCCAAAATTCGCTTGAAAATGAAACAGAACTAATGCGTTCAATTCAATTCTATAATTAAATTTGAAGTTTTTTAGCTTCGGTTTTTGAAACATGGTAATCACTGTGTAGCGAAGAAACCATATTTTAAATCCGTTAATTTATAATATTTATGCTCTATAAATTTACATTGAGCACTGTTTTCTGAAAATAAAAAATATCAATAAGAACACCGGATTATATATCTTACTGTTTTATATATATATATATATATATATATATATATATATATATATATATATATATATATATATATATATATATATATATATATATATATATATATATATAAGAATCATCGGGTTAGTAAAGTTCAAATTAATCTTTTTAAACAACAAGTCTTCTACGATTTTCACTATAGTTAAGTAGTATAGCACGTCAAATCAAATGACGGTTCCATATAGGACACAAGTTCGATTCTTGTTGGGAAACGCATATATTTTTTTACGAAATCTCTGGAAAATTCAGGCCGTTAAATGTAGTTTAAAGAAACAGATCATTTACTTACATACATTGTATCTATTAAAATAAAGTATAAACAGAAACTATATTAAAAAATTGTCGGACTTTTCATAATATTTATATATATGATGTGTGTGTATATGATAAAATATCGTTTTATGCAATATTTATAGGTTAAAGTGCTCAATATCAGGAACAGAGCGTATGTAAATATAAAAGTGGACATGGAAGTCAACACCCAAAGAGGACAATTTGTTTCATGTTGCCCATATATATATATATATATATATATATATATATATATATATATATATATATATATATATATAACAAACTTTATAAATTATTCTAAATACTTTTTATTATTAAGACAATTCTTGTAAAAATAATCATTTTATATATATATATATATATATATATATATATATATATATATATGTATTTAGGCAGCAATCCTTCTTTCATGTACATTTCATTGAATACGACAGACAAGGTGCTTTGATTTAGTTTTTTAGACAGTTTCTAATGCGATCTAATATGTTTTCTTTTCGGATGATATTTGTAACAATTGTTGACAACACTAATATAATAGCATCATCTACATGCAAAAAAAGTTGTAGAGAGCGATGATCGCACACGTCCTGAAAGGACACAGCACGTAAAATAATAATAATTATACATGAGTTTGTTTAGATAATTTGTCTCTGTGTATGCTGTAATTATTGTGAGGGCATATAAATATATATATGACTGATTGAATAAATTACAAACATTATTTCTGCTTATTTTTATCATAATCCTTTCATATTCACGAATATTTTTCCGTATATTACAATTAAATAAAGCAAGAAATGCACTGTAACAGTGAGAATCATTTTTATAGAAATGGCACAGGTAGGTAACCTTACGGAGATGGAAAAGTTACTAAAGCCGCGATGCTAGATCAGGACTTATAATATTGCTGATTCTTCTTTGGATTTTTATCAAGAATCTCTAAATATACATCAGGAGCACCAAACCATATGTGACAGCAATATTCAAACGATGGACGAATGGTAGACTTATAAATATGCAAGATAAATTCAGGAGATAAAATATTGTTTAGAATGACATAGTGACCCAACTTCCTTAGCTGCTGACCTAGCAATGGATTCGATATAATTTTCTACTTCATGTCAGCTGAGAATGTTAGCCCGAGAAGGCGCAACGAGTCACTGTCATGGAGGTTAGCATCAGCCATAATGATGGGAGGCAGGAAGGGCTCTTTCATGTGATTGATAGAGAGAAATTTCGTTTTGGAGGCGTTAAAATTAACAAGCCCTTCCTTGCCCCAGTTAACAACAGATTGTAGGCTATATTTTTTTTTTTTAGATTAGCTGCCAATTTGACCGTATCGAACAGATCAGACTTAGTATTAAGACAGGAGTAAATAGTTGTGTCATCAACATAGATATCAAGCTCAGAACTAATGTCATCATGAAGGTCGCTTACTAGAATTAAGAACAAAATAGATCAAAGAATATAGCACTGGGGGTCACCAATTATACAAAAGATCTAGAAATGTGTCCGTTTAGAATAACTTTCATTTCGAGATTTGGTAAGAAAGACTGAATCAGTTAAAAATTTTGTCCGTAAATATCATAGCATTTCAACTCATGAAGAACGCCGGTATGCCAGAATTTGTTGAACGCCTTCAAGATATCCAAAACAACACACCGAGCTTGACCATTCTTATCTTGATTCTTGATAGACTCTTTTAGCAATAATCGCTAAAACATCGGCAGTTGACCTAAGGAAGTGAAAGTCATACTGCTTATCTGAAAGAAAGCCCTGCAATGTGAGATACTTGATTAATTCAGAGTTGCTTACACAGAAGTCTTTGGGAAAGTGCGACAGAAAGATCTATTTGAACTATCAGGAAAACTTGATCTATTTGGAGAGGACGTTAGAATAATTAATTATACTTGAAGCAAATACGAGCAGAAAATGAATTGAGTAGGTACACAAAGACAAAATGAGATTTTTCACCAGATTTATTCGATCTCTAATGCTACCGTAAGGAATATAGAGACCTTGCCAAGATTTATTATCGGTGGGTGTCATCTTAAAGATACGCAGATGACATTGTGTCGGTGCCAGACACGGAAGGAAAACTACAGGACCCACTAGACAAACCCATCAAGAAAAGTGCGAAGAAAGGATTAAATAAAAATTCTAAAACAGAATGCATTGCTGTCAGCAAGAGAAAAATCAAACAAGTCCAGAAGTTTAAATATCTCTGAAATGTCTGAATAAAGTTCGGAAAATACAACACTAAAAACCATAAGCGTATTGGAATAGAAAAAGATGTCTTTCTTGTTTCCCCTGCTGGCCCCATTAATGAATTTGAAGGTGCTACTAGATTGGCATATAGGTCCCACCCCTTTTCTGTTAAATTAGTTAAATGTAACCGCCACTTTTACTCCAACAGTGTCCTTTTCTCTCACTTCTGTGGAAACTACTTCTGTGTACTTGCTTCCCTGATATGTACAATTTTCAAAAATTTAAATACAACGTTAATCCCAATCTTTTATCTTCTTGAATCCTGTTCATCTTTTGTCCTTTCTTAAATCCTTCCAATTCTTCTCTTTCACTTTCTCTCCCTGTAACTCCCTGCGCAATAGTGACATTCTCGTCTTGCTTGGGGTGAAATGATTAAAAAAAATAAGCAAAGTACAGAAAAACAGGAAAATTTCATTAAAAATAAAGAAAATGGTATTGAATTGTAGCATCAATTCTCACTTAAATGGCGGACAATGCTGGGCAATTTCCTCACATATGAAGAGAAAACAGGGAGCAATAAAAATGTGGTTCTACAGAAGGATAGTGACAATTCCATGGATGGAGCAAGTAAGCAGTAACGTCTTAAGGAAAATGGAAACAAAAATGTCACTCAGACTCATAATGGAGACAGATACATAATGGGGTTAATTTGCCGTATAAACAGCAAAAGCCCACGGTAATGAAAATATTCCATAAAATTGAATGATTAGGCATGAAATTGCCTGATTATTTCGAAAATGACAATAAAAATTTGCGCTCGATTACCGTTTAGGATTTATCGACGATGAGTTCGATCTCTTTCGCGTTGTACGACCGCCATTACTGGCGTTGTTTACTGTTTCGCCTCGAGTAATAATGCGCGGAAGTTTACTTAGTTAACAGCCTTTTTACTGCTTTTCGTATCTTCTTACTCTTCTTGATTACTACGCAGTTTTCGCGAAAGTTATTTTAAAATGTAGTTTCTTTTTTAAAAATGAAGCTTTAAATGAATATTTTTTATTAATTGATATAAATTCCTTTTTTTCCAATTAAAAATATTATTTCTTTGTAGAAGGGAAGCTTCATTAAATAATGAATTCTATTTTTTTTTTTTTTAAATTTCTATTTTATTTTAATTGTCGGATTTTAAGGAATCTTTCACGACACAATTTTAAAAAAATAATATCTTTTAAAAAAGAAAACTTATCATTTCAGGTACGTAATTTTTATTTTATTTTTCGTTTTTTCATTCAACGTAAAATGGACAGGGGAAGGCTGTGGGCCAACTACCTGGTGTGCTTCCGTAAAAGGATGGCGCAACGGTGAGCGGAAGGCTTGGTAAAGGGACAAAAACTTTGCTTAAGCCTACAAAGGATAGGAAGTTGCGGAGAGCCATTATCGTCAACGCCCCTGAAGGGACACGGCACATCAAAGAAGAAGAAGACGTAGAAACCGTGATTCAAAAAGAGTTCAATACCTGGTTAAGACATGGCACGAATTAAAGAGTTCAGTTCGACATTCCAACTACATGAAGAAGGCTGGAGCGTACAACGGCCGAAACGTTGTGGTAAATATGTCAACAAAGATGAGGAGAATAGTCCGAATAATGTAAATTGTGTCATTGAGGTTACCTGGGATGGGTAACGGTTGACTCTAGAATTGAAGATGTTAACATTGTAACGATCTGAGAAGTACCCTCTCGGGAGTCTGTTCTGGAGAAGAGCACTTCTCTCGTATTAATGGATGACCTAAGTAATGAGGATGATTTGTTTCAGCGTGCGTAGCATAGCGGGGCTTATCTGTGAAGGTCTGAACGGGCGGAGCAAAGGAATGTAGCTTGCCTAAACATTTGCCATCGAAAGGTTCTTGCGACATACATTTCGCCTGTGGGAAACGAGTTGTAGACTGAAAAATCATTCACCATCTACAGGACCGCGCAGATGCTTTCGAACTCTATCAAGGCTGGAAAATAGGGATGTAATTACTGTCCAGGTATAGTGCTAGGACTATATTTTTGCTCATAACGGCAACGGAGGTTTTCACACAATTGCCCCTTGGAAAGACGAAAAATCCATCTCTTTTTATCCCAGCTATGGGTTAAATAGCAGGGTAAACTGAATCTTCTAACTTTGGTAGCAACTGATGCAGGAGAAGAAAAAGTCTGAATTCCAAACTAAAACCACGTTTTTCCTTCTTCTCCTTTTTTTTAAGATATGGTTTAACTTAGTGGATATTTGATCAATGTTAATTTCGCAGTTGTTTTCACACTAAGTTCTCAATTATAATAGCCTTGTGCCAGATTACGTAATATATCTTAGTACAGGATCCATGTTGATTATTTGGCAGTCAACAACCTAAGTGGTTATTTATCTTTTCCGGAAGTTAAAAATCCGCGCAATTTCATCTTGCTGGCAGCACGTGACGTAAACACTTTACAGATGGAACAAATTAGCCTGCGAAATTGGTGGATGTAAGGAATATCGCGCGCATTAAATGGGTAACACGAGACTCAAATCCTCATATTTTACAAGACATTTCATTCAACTCCTAACTTCGATAATCCCTCTCGGTCAATGTGTATGTGTGTGCGCGTGTGTGCGCGCACGCGCGACGCCGGACGTGTACCTTACATTCTTGTCTGCGATATGAGAGAGACTATCTGCGCCTTAAAGCGGGTCTGGGTGAGTTTATATATCTGTCTCGTTGCCGCACCTTCAGACCCAGGTGCTGCTCGTCGGTCACGTGAATCAGCACTCGGCGGCCGGGACGTCATCGCAGGTCATTTCTGAATCAGGTTTGTCTGACGTCACACTGAGTGCAAAGCATGATGATTTACTATAGAGAAAAGTTCTAATTCCGAGCAGTTATCAAATACACCACATGCAAGCTTACAATATTTGGTATTTCCAAGCGGTCACACATCTAGGCACTGATCAAGCTCGATGTAGCTTAACTTTGTTCATCGTATGATGGTATGCTATACTTATGGATAAAAGTGCTCAATATCAGAAACAGAGCGTATATGAATATAAAAGTGGACACTGAAGTCAAACCCAAGTGGCCACAGTCAGTTTCATGATTGAACAAAATCTCCAGGCCATGAATATTACATTATATATATATATATGTTAAGAAATGGACGAGGTCCGACAATTTATTTATTAAAGACATTTTTATTTATGTTTAACGTTGTTATTTTATAGATACAAGTATTTAAGCAAATGCTCTGTTTATGATAAACAGTATTAAATAACATTTACCGGCCTGAATGTCCGAGAAATTTTCATAGAAAATATTCGTTCATAGACATAATTTGTCTGATGATCGCAAAAGCTCGAAATCTAGGATCACAAACTCATATCCATACAATTTATATATATATATATATATATATATATATATATATATATAACTGTGTTGTCAGACTCAACCATTTTCTTTTGATTTTACGATATTGTTGTGTACGTCTGTTTGGGAGAGCAGTAATTTTGTTAAGAAAGGTGAAATAACACAGTTATACTGACAATATTCTCCACACGGGACAATAACTGACGTTATTTTCAGCTAACAATATGAAAATAGCGTTTTCTACATTCCTCCAGTTGCTAAGAACATTCTGTTTTTTGTTATTATTAGTTACTTTCTTTAATTAAATTCATTTCGTTTTTTGCTTTTCCACATTGGACGAAACGCGTCAGCAATAAGTACAGTTTTCCTATTGTCATTTATATTTATAAATATTGTCTTTTTTCTACAGGTCAACTCTGAGAAATTTTCATATATATATATATATATATATATATATATATATATATATATATATATATAGGTATTAATACGATCATCAAACAAACTGTTTGTCTGATGTTTGCAAAAGCGAGTCACAAATTCATAACCATACATTTATTATGTCAGCTCTATCATTGATATTGAGCGCTTTCACTAAGTATCACGCATATAAATAATATATATATATATATATATATATATATATATATATATATATATATATATATATATATATATATATGACGAGCTTTGACGATGTTTGAATAATTAATCGAATCGTGAAAACACTTTACTCCAGAGTGGCAAATAAGCCCACCCTTTTTTAATCAGCGCACAATTTTTGACGCCTTCAATAAAGGGCAAATCGAAATTAAGTCAGTTTCTACGGATAACTAAACAGCCTAAGTGGTAACGACTCTTAAAGCGGAAGAGATTCCTGTCGAAAACACTTTGCAATTAACTAAAATAAACATCAGCTTCGTGTATGTGAAAACTGGGCTGAAATGAGACGAACACCGACTTTTGCTTGGGTAATCTTGGGTACCATGCTCTAAAAGCCCGTGGGGAAGCAACACAAAATCAATCGAAATTTTTTTCTTTTTTAATAAAATTTAAAATTAAAAAGGGATAGAAAAAAAGAAGAAAAAAGGAAAGAGGAAAACAGAGGAACAAATAAGGGAAAAGGCATTTAAGAGAGAGATAGAAAAAAGAGAAAGAAACACCCAAGTAGAGAGGGGGAATAGAGGAAGATAGGACATATACATGTCTAGACAGAAGTGAAAAACGGTGGTAGATTAAGAATGACATAATATGTTAAGTCTTGTTCAAATAGGAAGAATTAAAATTGGAAAAAAATGCATGAGAAAAAACAATAATTAAACTTAAGAAAGGGAGAGTTTTTAAATTGTAGATAAAAGAAAAATTAGAATTTGATATTAAAACTATTACTTAATTTTAATATTAAACAAAAGAATTTAATATTATAATGAAAAAATGAAGAAATTATTAGTTAATAAACAATAAAACTGAAAATTGAAAATAATAATATATATTGATATAAATAAATAATACATATATATATATATATATATAATTTTTTTTTATAAAAAATTATAACATAAGTATGTTATAAAATGATGTAAAAAATAAAATTTTGTTTCATTTTCTGTTCAACATCAAGTGATGATAAGAAAAGAAAATGAAATGTTGAAACAAAATGGCTATTTTTGTAGTGATTTTATAACATACTTATGTTATAATTTTTTATAAAAAATAATTATATCTGCTTTACTTTGTATTGAGCACTCTTTTAAGAATAGTAATTGTTGGTTATTGGAATTCATTCCGTGTATACCAATTATATACTTTTGATATATATATATATGTATATATATAAAATTCCCAAGAGGATAGAATCCAGGTAGAGCTCAATGTCTAGGACAGAGCAAGAATATAACATAAAAGCCTCAAACACTAATATTCCATGGTTATAATTTATTATATTGGCATCGTAATCACGATTCATCAGACCTACAAATTCACGCTATATATATATATATATATATATATATATATATATATATATATACAAAGAAGACGTGGCTCTTGGGGAACAATCAGTTTGATTAAGCATACTCGGATGAGTTACACCACGGAATTCAGTGTGAGTGGCACTATATCGAGACTAGTTAGTTACCACTTCGTCAACGAGACCCGTTGGTCGAGTGGTATGACGCCTGAGTCATATCGTAACGGTCTGGGTTCGATGAGTCCCAAAATAGGACGAAAGGGCCGCCCAGTCCAGTACATCCTGTTGAGGATTCTTCTAGAGTCGATGAATTACTTTGATATGATTATTCGAATCCCCATTAAAAATTTCTATCTCTCAGTCACACACACACACACACACACACACACACACACATATATATATATATATATATATATACATATATATATATATATATATATATATATATATATATATATATATATATATATTTATCGAATTCACCCCCGCAAGCATGGAAGTAAAGCCACTATGACACAAGCGGTTACTGGGTGTAGAAGAATTAGGAAGAGAAACATTAATAATGAGTGGGAAGAGGAAAGAGTAATCAGGAGGACAGTAGATAGCGATTGACATTGCATTTAAATATTTGAAGATTAAAGTTGGCTGGAATGCATGGAGCCGAAAGGAAGTTTCACAAGCAAGGCAATAAAGCCACTAAGACACAAGGGGTTTACTGGGTGTGGGAGAATTAGGAACAGAAACATTAATAATGAGTGGGAAGAGGAAAGAGTAATCAGGAGGACAGTAGATAGCGATTGACATTGCATTTAAATATTTGAAGATTAAAGTTGGCTGGAATGCATGGAGCCGGAAGGAAGTTTCACAAGCAAGGCAATAAAGCCACTAAGACACCAGGGGTTTACTGGGTGTGGAAGAATTAGGAACAGAAACATTAATAATGAGTGGGAAGTGGAAAGAGTAATCAGGAGGGCAGTAGATAGCGCTTGACATTGCATTTAAATATTTGAGGATTAAAGTTGGCTGGAAAGCATGGAGCCGAAAGGAAGTTCCACAAGCAAGGCAATAAAGCCACTAAGACACAAGGGGTTTACTGGCTGTGGAAGAATTAGGAACAGAAACATTAGTAATAAGCAGGATGAGGAAAGAATAATCAGGATGACAGTAGATAGCGATTGACATTGCATTTAAATATTTGAAGATTAAAGTTGGCTGGAAAGCATGGAGCCGGTAGGGAGTTCCACAAGCAAGGCAATAAAGCCACTAAGACACAAGGGGTTTACTGGCTGTGGAAGAATTAGGAACAGAAATATTAATAATGAGTGGGAAGAGGAAAGAGTAATCAGGATGACAGTAGATAGCGATTGACATTGCATTTAAATATTTGAAGATTAAAGTTGGCTGGAAAGCATGGAGCCGGAAGGGAGTTTCACAAGCAAGGCGATAAAGCCACTAAGACACAAAGGGTTATTGGGTGGAGAATAATTAGGAACAGAAACATTAATAATGAGTGGGGAGGGGAATTTAAATTTAAATTTTTGATGGCGTGAAAGCATGGAGCCTGAAGGGAGTTCCACAAGCGACAATGCGCGAAAAGAAACTGTTAGCATAGAACTTACGGCTACATCTTGCCTGCTCAGCTGTAAATTGATGAGATCTAAACACCAGGTCAGAACCAATAATATTGTTGCTTCTTTGGATTTTATCAAGAATCTCTAAATATATAGCAGAAGCACCAGACCAGATGTGGCAGCAATATTCAAAGCAAGGATGAATGGTAGACTTATAAATATGTAAGATAGATTCTTCTTTGGATTTTATCAAGAATCTCTAAATATATAGCAAAAGCACCAGACCAGATGTGGCAGCAATATTCAAAGCAAGGATGAATGGTAGACTTATAAATATGTAAGATAGATTCTTCTTTAGATTTTATCAAGAATCTCTAAATATATAGAAGAAGCACCAGACCAGATGTGGCAGCAATATTCAAAGCAAGGATGAATGGTAGATTTATACATATGTAAGATATATTCTTCTTTGGATTTTATCAAGAATCTCTAAATATATAGCAGAAGTACAAGACCAGATGTGGCAGCAATATTGAAAGCGAGGATGAATGGTAGATTTATAAATATGTAAGATAAATTCTTCTTTGGATTTTATCAAGAATCTCTAAATATATAGCAGAAGCACAAGACCAGATGTGGCAGCAATATTGAAATCAAGGATGAATGGTAGACTTATACATATGTAAGATAGATTCCGGAGAGAAAAATTGTCTGGCACGACACAGTGAACCAGCTTTCTCTGTATCTAACCTCGCAATGGATTTACTCCCCCCTCATATATATATATATATAACGGAGAAGGAAAATTTTTCTTAATCTTTTATTTAGATTTTCCGTTTGGTGGGAGTAATGGGTAACAAAAGCTCTTCATACCGTCCATTGTCCCAAGCACTTTCGGCCACGGTGTTGGCCATTAGTTTCTTTACATGTTTTTACTGTTTGAGACGTATTTTGTGTGTGTTTTTTAATACTTGTAAAATGGCTGAGTGGCTGAAAACGCTTGAGACAATGGACGGTATGAACAGTTTTTGTACACGCTCAATTCCACTAAACGGAAATATTTAAGAACGTTGGGAAAACAAAATGAAAAAATTAATCAAATTTTCCTTGTCCATCATATTTAAAGAAATATGTTGAAAAGAAAGGTTACTTCCAAATATAAATTAATTAATATATATATATATATATATATATATATATATATATATATATATATATATATATATATATTTCATTAAATAATATAGACAAATGTCTATTTATTTTATTTTAGGCATTTTGAATGATAACTCTAACAATTTTAGGCATTTAAAACAACATGCCTGGACGCATACACAATTCTGGAAAATCCTTGTTGAAAACACAACTATACATAAACAAGAAAACAAAAACTAAAAACTTAAAAAATTCTTGAAGCTATATACATAAAACAGTTGAAACCTAACCTGAACAAAATAAACTATGAAATCTCCACAAATATTCTTAAATGCCTATGATTGGTAACAGAAGCCATTTGTTTATATAAATGGCTTCCCATACTTAATACTTCTCGTTTTCACTCTCGCGTGGCCATGTGTGACGCTATGAGCTGAGGTGCGATTTTCGCTTCCAGCGTCTTATATACACGGATTTGTCGTTGCTTGGAAATGTTCCATGTAAACAGAAACGGACTATCATCACTGTCTTGTCCGTGTATCGCTTAATATATTGCATTGGATAATAATTGTCATCTTTGATAATGGCTTACGTAAGCCGACAGCTTAGATAGAATTAAAAAATATGTATCAATATGGTGATTTTCTTTCTTCGTTTAGTGATAATGTTATTAAGCTTATCAGACGATATCAAAAGAATTTACATAAAATAAATAGACAACACTTGTCTATATTATTTAATGAAACATGTATCAATGAAAAATGCTGCCTAAATACACACACACACACACACACACACACAATATATATATATATATATATATATATTTATCAGATGAAAGTACTGCAAAAATCATCTATCAACCCACATAAGAACCCTTAAAAAGAATTCTGGTCGAAAACACACAAATTCTATGTAATCCACATTACCGGAAACATCTCGCTATTAGAGAGACCCTGTATATAAAATATATCTCTCTTACTATTAACCTCACCTTATTTAACAGTGGAAATGGAGTGTTCAAAGGTTTTTTAAAATAAAAAGTTGCTCGTGCAAATTCTAGCCGCGATAAACACTCGAAGGCTCGGAATAAACGCTCCTACCCAAAACAACACGAAAATAAAATACAACTTAAACAGTCAAATCATGAGGAAAAACCAACACTGCCAAATTCAAAATCCCCTTGTAAATGGCTAAAGAAGTGTCTGGGACAATGAAAATTATGGAAAAATTTCTGTATTCCCTTACGTCTACATACAACACGTAAGGATGCTGTAAAACTAAATACAAAATTAATTAAATCTTCCGTATGTTTCGGTTTTAAGCATCTTCGACCCAAATAAAAACTTGCGAGAAAAAGAAAAAACAGAAAAAAAATTTGAAAAGTTCCGTAGTCTTTAACAAAACATGCCTCAATGATATATATATATATATATATATATATATATATATATATATATATATATAGAAGCATTGCGTTGTCCGTGCTTGATTCAAAAATCGTACGTCTCATACAGCAATCGCTATCACTTGACTTAAAATATTTTGCC